CTTCCTCCCCCACAACAAACACTCTGTGATGTGAGTGAGGCTGAGAGACTTCAGAGAAGTGTGACTAGCCCAAGGTCACCCAGCAGCTCCATGCGCACTCTCTCCTTCTGCCATTTCCAGGAACTGGCATTCAGAAGCGTTGCGTGCAAGAGAGGAAGCATGTGTGGATGTGAGTCTGAGAGAGAATATGCATGCATGCAGGGGCCTGTGTCTCCCTTCCTTCCCTCTGCCTTTGTGTGCCTGGCCTGAGCCTCGCTGTGTGCGTGCACACACGGCAACTTACCCTCACGCAGAAAAGAATGAAAGGTCAAAGACCACCAGCAATCCAGAAGCTGTTCAACCAGAGGCTGAAAAAGGGAACCGCAGGATAGCAAGCAGCACAAGAAGAGACAGATTTCGACAGAAGACAGAGAGTGAGAGCCTGGAAAGCAGAGAATAAAGTTCAGCTCTTGAGAGAAGTTCTGAGACATGGCAAGGGTGGAAGAGGGCAAGGCTTCGCAGGGTAGGATAAAAAATAAAATGGGGACGGCCATGTCAGTTGTAGTCAAAAAGGATCTGCTGAGACCAATGATGAAATAAAACTTTTGCAAAAGCCAAAATAGGTCTTTTGCAGCACTGTGAAGGGGCACTGTCTACTTCTTCCCTCAATCCCCTTAAGAAGGAACAAGGAACAGAGATGTACACATCCTGTTCTTTTTAGTGGGACTGGGCACTGCAGCCACAAGAACCAAATTGCCCAAAGCCTAGGCTCCTTGCAAAAAGTCAAATAAATAATCCGAGACAAATCCCTCACCTGAGAGGGAGCCCAAGAAGGAAAAACACAAAAGCTGCCTTTGCTATAGTAGTGCCCTCCAGATGCTTTGGACTACAACTCCATCAGCCCCAGCCTCACTTAGCTGTGCTGTCTTGGGCTGATGGGAGTTGCAGTACAAAATTTCCACAGGTTGCAGAAGGTTGAATTGAAGCCCACCGACCAAACGCTCAATAGTATTTTTAACAAGAGGATGAATTTGGGAGTAGAAGAATGGAAAGTGATGTTATTCACCCTAACACCACATGAGAATAGTTACACCAATTTGTATTTTTGGCTGCCTTCAGCAAACAAGGATGGCATCCTTATCTGTGATTCCTGCATTGCAAGGGGTCAGACTAGATGCCCCCTTGGGTGCCTTCTGACTCTACAATTCTATGATTCTATTATTCATTGCCCTTCACATTTCACAAAAAAGCCTTGGGAAGTGCTTTAAATAAAAGAGGAATAAGGAGGATAGAAGAAACTCTTTGCTTCTTTTAACAAAATGCAGATCAGTGCATCTATTTCCTTTTCTTTCTTTCTTTACATAAAAAAATGACGGTTAAGAAGCACAGCGCTTTTGCACAGCGGACAAAGCAACAAGTTTTCTCTCAGCAGCAAAAGTTGAGAGCGGATTCTAAGCTTCCTCCCTTGTAGCTTCATTAGTTGCAAAGTACTCAGTGTCAACTCTCTCCAAGGCAGTCAAAGGAATTATACGCCTTAAATGACAAAGCTGACAGTCTGTTGAGAGGCCAATGCCAAGACTGGGAGAGATAAAGTGGGGCGGCGAGAGGAGAGGAGAGAAGCACTCTAACAAGCGATTAAGGGCATCAATTCTGTCATGCAAAAAGCAGCAGGGCGCTCAGTACTACACCAGTGGGTATCCCGCTCCTGACATAAGTGATCTACAGCTGTCAAACAGCAGTGAGAAGATCAGTTTTTTCTGCCCTGCAAACCCATGGAGAGGAAGGCAGTGGACAGTTGGAAGTCTCTTTCCAATAAGCTACAGATCAAAGGGTCACACTCTTCCAAGAGGCGCTTGGGCGGGAAGGAAGAATGGCAGGTAGCACATGGAAATGGAAGCTACCACCATCATCTCTAGAATGACCCACAGAATATGGAATTCTGGGTGTGTCAAAATAGTGCATCAAAGCTGCCGAAACTCCAGGAAGTTCCTCCCGTAGGCACACCTCATGCCCAGAATTGCGAAAGTTACACACTTAGAAGCTTTTTGAGAACAAGCTTTCGAAAAGTTCAGATGTTTATCCCAGCTTTAGTTTTAAAATTAACAAGTTTCTGCCCTGCCGTCCGTGATGGTGTTGTTTGGTATGTGCTGCCTCCACAGTCCAAGGCCGTAAATGCTTCTGAACACCAGTTGCTGGGAACCACAGGAGGGGGGAGCAATCTCATGCTCAGGCCTTGTTTGGGGGTTTCCCCGCAGGCATCTGTGGCCACTAGGAGAACAGGATGCTGGACTAGATAGGCTATAGGCCTGATGCAGAAGGCTCTTCTTATGTTCTTATGCATGATGTGAGCATAATACTTGATAATGTTGCCGTGCAGGGGGGCCTAAACTTGTTGAGGCCAAAGTCCACATTACTGCCTGGGAGGAGCCTGGGTGGGCGTCATAAAAAAAACCAGGAGTGGATTCAGCCATAGGTCGAAGCCTATTTAGTCTACTGCAGTGTTTCACATAACTGGCTAACTACTATCCTGGGACATATTGTCAGGTCAAGCCTGTATTTCTTGTGGTCAGGTGCCTATGCAACAACTTAAAAGATATACAACAAATCACTTTTCAAATGCAAATACAATGTATATAAAACAAAAATTAAAAAAGTAAGTATATAAAACACAATATTCAACTACTTTTACACAGAGTAGACTCTTTAGACATGTTCATTTCAGTGGGCTACTCTACTCTGAGTAAATGTTGGTTGAATACCACCCACAGTATATAAAGCCAGAATAAAATACATCATTGTTCATATAATCAAGCCGCCATGACAGGCTTACAGTCTATACATCAGGCCATCTTCTGATGGACACCTGATCATTTCCCCCACTGGTTATACAGTGTTCAAATCATTCGCTGGTTAACAATTTGTTTGACACACAAACCCACAAGGTAACTTACTGGCTGATTCCTTCAAATGAAGCTTCCCTGGTAATACTTCCACTGTCAGTGTTAACTCCTCTCTGGAAAAGAAAGGCAAAAGTATTTGAACTATGACTATCAACAAAAGAACAGCTGCTTCAGTCTTAAAATTACGAAAGAGGCATCCTGTGCGGCAAGGCAGCCTTCCCAAATAGGAGACCTTTCAGATGTTCTGACTACAACTCCCATCCCCCCGGCCCATTCCCTTTTGGCACCGAAAATGGCATGCATGTCAGAATGAGCGCATGTGCTGATCACGTGCAAGTTGCCTGTAGCTCGAACCACCCGAAGGGTTGTAGGTAGGCTATGGTAAGTTATTCTGGTCACACAGGGCATGTGCTGAAGGGTACCTAAGCCTATGTCTTGATTAGTGACTAGGAACCAAGTACAGGCCATATTGATTTCCCAGATGTAAGAATGGTTGGAAACCAAAGACGTGGGAATAGGCCATGTAAATTAAGCAACCTTGTATCTTGGTCACTCTTCCAGAACACCCAGGAGACAGTGGTTTTCATATGTTCAAAAAGCACAGGATACAAAGGGCTTTTCCCTTCCTGGATTGCATACAATTCTCAGCCACTATCACCACCCTTTGAAGGTTGTGAGACTGCCCTCATTAAGTTCCATGGAATTTGAACCTGGCTCCCAGTCAAACCAGGTTAACTTGGGAAACTCCCCTTCCTCCAGTCTTACCCAACAGCCTAAGCTTCTCCTAAAATCAAGCCTGACAGTGAGCAATAACTACCACCGAAGAATGTTCCCAAACCTGTTAACACACAGGCCAGAAATGGCCATTAGGAGCCATTTCCATCTGGCTACAGGTGAGGTTGGCTGGTACCCGACCTTGGCTGTTGTCCTCTTCCCTCCCCCATTTTCTTTATGGACTGTGTCTTTTAAGAGTGCCTCAATAATAATACATTAACAAACTTTTATTTGAAAACAGCAACACTCCTTCTATTACAGAAGACTAGATTATCGCATTTAGTAGGATCCCCAGATGTTAGTGGACAACAATTCTTGCTGAGTCTGATGGGAGTTTGGGAGCCCAACAGTAGGTGATGGACCCCAAGTTGAGAAAGGCTGCTTTAGTCTGCAAATAAGTTTCTCCAAAGTCAATACTTTCTAAGAATACAAGATGTCACTTACCAGAGTAAGAAGAACTGAAGGGTTCTTTGAAGCCAGAACACTAGAAATCTGCAAAGTAAGAAGAATCATTGTGGTCAGTTGATCGCCCACCAGCACTGGCCACTAAGGAAGCTTCACAATGGTGCCAACTTGCAAGAGCTCTACTATCCATGCCCAACCACCTACTGTGCCCTATTCATACTCACACTACTTCTGCAGACCATTCCCACATTCTATCTAGTCACCTGCTGTCATGATTATATTCCTTCAGCAACCGATCCCATCAAATCCCTGGGACGACCATTTTAACTTTCTAAGAAGATGGAATGTTCATAAACATTTCTTAGCATCTCAACAGATAGGTCAATGGATAGGAAGGCACTGCATATTTATTTTGTGGTTTATATCCTGCCCTTTTTTATACCACAGGCATATGCAAGGTGGTGTATAGGATAAAAAGAAAAAAAACCACTTATATACAATTCTGAAAACAAACAGTCAGCAAAAAAAAAAGCACACCAGGAACAGCAGATACATACACATGTCCAACCAACGACTGCAGTTAAGAAAAGGCCCAATGAAATTATTTTTGTGCTGCTTTCCCAACAAAGCTGAGCTCAAAGCCACTCACAGCAAAGTTGTTATTAAAAAAGACAAATGACATTTCCCTCCACATAATTATACGTACACAAGACGCAGCAGCATCTCAGCAAAGCAAACACAAACCATTCAGCATTCACTAACCATTAACGCAGTGTAACACAAACTCCTAATTCAACAAAAAAAGGGGCTGGGGAATCCATTATGCACATTAAGCATCAAAAGCCTTTCTAACTAGACTGGCAGGTCTTCAGAGCCCATTTTTAAAATTCAATAAATCTGGAGGATCTCAGCAAGGCAAGCCTGAAGACTAGAGGCAGAGCCAAAGCTCTGCAGAAGAGTGTCTGCCTTGGTAGCAGAAGGCCCCGGGTTCAAATCCCGGCAGCATCTCCAGGTAGTGTTGGGACTGACTCCCTGCCTGAAATCTTGGAGAGCAGCGGCCAGTCAGTGTAGACAATACTGAGCTAGATCGACTCACTATAAAGCAGCTTCCTAGATTCCTATGTAGAGGCTTTATCAGAGATGGAAAGCTATTCCAGTATCTGTGGAATGGAAACATGTTTAAAGGACTTCACGGCAGCAGATCCCCCAGAAAGTATTTCTGCAGCTCTGGCAACAGCCACTGGATTTCCAAAGCATAAAGGAAAGCCGCATCTCTTTAATTCCACCCGCCCCCAGCCTGGTCCCACACAACAGTTTAAGCAGGGAATCAGGGTAAGCACAGCATTTGCTGATGACACTCTGACAAATTGTCAATATAACTGATACTAAGCAACAACGCACAAATTTCTGGCCGGGAATCACTTGTCATCCACTCTTGCAGATAAGAAGCCCTTAACTAGCACTTCTGTATTCGACACATGAAGCCTGATAACAAGAAACCACGATTCCAATCCAGATATGTCAAGCAGCAAACCTCCTCAGTAGCTGCAGCAGAGGGAATGAATAGATTAGCGCAATGCTATTTCAGAGGGATACTCATCTCAAGAATCAAACTGCGTTTCAAATGCCAGCCCCCCAAATATGGTTTTTTTTAATAGAATGGGACACACCAGGGTTAGGGCCCTGAAGAGCGAGAGAAATTGTTTGTTTTGAAATCTCATTCTGTGCCCCACAACGATCACAGACAAAACGTAGGTAGGAAGAACCCAGAACACACGAAGGGGGCATAAGGAGAACACACCAATTGCCTGGCTAGATAGAAAAAGGCAGATACAGTATATGATATTAATAAGCATCTTTATAGGGCTTTAGGAAAGTGCTCAAAGCATGTCATGTGCATGCAGGTTTTTTTACAATCTTCCTTTTTCAGGCCAAAGAGGTTGCCCAAGGCAAGTTCACATCAAGACGCAACAACTGAACTGAGGCTTACTGGTTGTGTCTCGAGGCCCCAAGACCCACCCCCAAAATAAATACACACAGACACTTATATTAGTTTAAGTTTTGGGGCAAAATTTTTGGCCACAACTTTATTGAAATACAATCACATGAGCGGTATTGGCTTAGGCATTGACTCCCCACTACAAATGGCTCCACCTCTCAGGGTGATCGTCAAATGGGGTAAACCAAACAACGGAGCAAGGTCGATGAGGACCAACCTAAGCTCCCCCCGGGGTTCCTGTGGCCCTGGCATGGCCCTAGCCCCTCAAGCAGACTTCGGACGAGATCCAGGACCCCCAGATTCCTTTAACAGAATATCCAGTTCCTGGAGGGGCAAGTGATGGCCGCACCTCCCCTCCGCACAATCCAACTGAGCCAATGCCTAACCGCCACCTTACAAGTTGAGACGATTTGCTAAGGGGTGGGCGAAAACCAAATGGCTAAACCCAATCTGCCAAATGGAAAAATTCCTACCCAGCCCCTGTTCCAAAACAGGCGACCCAAACCAAAGCAAGGCCAAGTGACTCTAACTAAACTAGGGAGGGTGGGCGGATGTTCAACAGTGCGAAGCAAGTGCCCCTCCTCGCATCACACTGCTGTTTTTAAAGCGCCTGGGATCACGCCGCCCACTGGCTATTGGCTAAAATTGCCTGGTGTGATCCCAGGGGAATGGCCAGGACTTCTTGCTCCTCCCCCCCATTTTAACCCTATCAGGTGAGCTCTTGGGCACCGCGTGCAACCAGGACCCTCTGTTATAAGGATCCCATTTCACAGACTCTCTGCCACAACAAGCTTGCACTATTGCCATCAAAAGCAGCTTCATAGGAACACATAGGAAGCTGCCTAATACTGACCACTGGTCCATCTAGCTCAGTATTGTCTACACTGACTGGCAGCAGCTCTCCGGGGTTTCAGGCAGCAGTCTCTCTCAACCCTACCTGGAGATGCCAGGGATTGAACATCTTGCAAGACAGATGTTATACCACTGAGCTTTGGCTCTGCCCCATGTGATCGCTTAGGGCCATGGCTCAGGGCAGAGCTCAGTGCTTTGCAGGCTGAAGGTTACAGGTTCAAGCCTTGGCGTATCCACATAGGGCTGGGGAAAAGACCCCTGCCAGAAACCCGGGAGAGCCAATTGCCAGTACAACAGCTTTTGTTGTGAACCACTCTAAGATATACAGATGAAGGGTGGTATACAAATTTAATAAATAACAGGCTCTGCCAGCCTTGCTCCAGATATTCTGGGACGGTGTTTAGAGCAAATGGGAGTTGTAGCCCAATATGTCTGGAGGTTGGCAAAGGTTGGTGCAGACAGCACTGAGCTCAGATACTCCAAGAGGTCTGACTCTGTTTAAGGCAGCTTCAGAGGGGAAACGGCATGAAAAGTATCAATAAAACACTGGTGTCAAGACGTGTTTGTTGAGCCCATGTGAACACCACATCCAATGGGTACTAGTGCTCAACCTCAAAAAAGTAGGTGATGGTGATAAGGGTACCCAGGAGGAGACTCTCAGAAACCAGAGCCCCATGGACTAGAGGAAGCTGCCTTACACCGAGTCAGGTTATTGGTCCACCCAACACACCATTATCTACACCAGGGTTTCCCAAACTTGGGTCTCCAAGTTTGGTTTTGGACTACAACTCCTATCATCCCTAGCTAGCAGGACCACTGGTCAGGGATGATGGGAATTGTAGTTCAAAAACAGCTAGAGACGCAAGTTTAAGAAACCCTGATAGGCAGCAGCTGTCCAGGGTTTCAGGCAGAGTCTCTTCCAGCCTGACCTGGAGATGCCATTTAGGACTGAACTTGGGGACACTCTGTATTTAAAAAAACAGATGATCTGCCACAGAGGTACACTGGTCCTTCCCAACCAGTCCTGTGCACCAAGAGTGTTTTGGATATCTCTTTGCACAAACTGCAAACCTCTCACGCAGCAAAGCAAACCATTTCCATAAAAGAAAAATCTTTCAAAAGCAAGTACGGAAATAGCAAAGCGGGTTTGTGGGTGAAAGGGGGAGAGATTAAAAAATATATATTCTAACACACTTGCCTCAAGTAGTTAGTGGGATCCCAGACAGTGACTGCAACAAAGACCACTTTCCAACTGCTTCTCTTCAAACTGGAAAGGCTAATACTTATCTACCCAATATTTTTGCCCCTCAAAAAAGCTTCACAAGATCTTGGCAAAGGCAAAACACTCACCTCATCTGTATACCGAACTTCATTGACAGCATACTTCTGCCTGAAGAATTCAGGAGGCTGGATCCTTCAGAAGGCAAAGAGACAACTGGTTATTTTGCAAGTAAGAGAACAGCTTGATATATTATTATCAGCTTTATGTTACTATAACCCCTTTTCTTTTTACAAAACAAATTCAATGCACAAAGGAAGAAAATGAAGGACAATGAATGCTACAGATACGAAAACCCAAAGAGCAATCACACATCACCACCAGTTTTGGGTTACAATATATACATTTTTTTTGCCTAGTCAATAACAGCAATTTGGTATATTATCATATGGTACAGGCGTTCCTAGGACCCTAAACCCCATTTTTAAGAAACAGTATCTAAATAGGGGTAAGACGCACAGGACATTTTTAAAGGAATCATTAACACTAGGCATCCACATCTGAACAAAGTCTTAAGTTACCACATTTTTCTAAATTCCATGGTTAGGCATGGTATTTATTAGGACCAACCAAAATGTCCCAAAATGCAGAGCTAACTTTAAAAAGAAGAAGTGTGTATTGAGTTTTCAGAAATAACACTATATAAACAAAATAAATAGTAAGAACAACTGTGTGGAGTACATTATTACAGCTGGGATAAAATGAACAGAAGGTTCAGTAGACTTGCAGACATATAATAAGATTCTGCAAAACAAAGTTTTGGAAACAGGAGTTACAATTTGGAAGAAAGCAAGCCTTGGCACATAGAGGTATGTGTCATTGGGGGTTGATGCAGAATTCTATTGTTCTTGATAAAGCATATTAACAGAAGCCATACATCATCAAAATGCTCTCATTTTGAAACCCCTTTTAGAACCCTCCTGTGATGGGTTAGATGCTCAGGCAAGGCAATGCCCCTTGCCCTCCCATTCACCCCTAGAGAGACCCCATGAAGCCTTCCAATGTCTGATAATTTCGAGTCTGGCTGCAACCAGCAGTAGAGCAAGCAACTCTTTGTGAATAAGGGTGGGATTTAAGGGATGTGAGTCGCTTACGGTGGCCAGGAAAGCTAATACTGGGTCCAAGATCAGCAACTGGTTGGCTATTGGAGACAGGTCCATGAATATAAACTACCAACAAAGTGCAAGTTTTTCGCATCCTCATCACATATGAAGAAAGGTGCCCTTGCCATCCCAGGGTGCCCAGCATAGTGGCGAGGCGTGCTCCAGAATACGTGACAACATAGCAAGGGTCCAACGCCAACGTAGTAAAAGCTTGTTCTGAGCAAACTTTTTAGTTTCAAAAGAAGGAAGAAGAAAAAGTCTGGCTTGGTATTGGTATTTTAGTCACAAGATGGAGTTGTTGTAGTTCAGTGGTAGAGCACACAGTATACAGACAAGTAAGAAAGGTGGGAGACTCAGGGAGAGCTACTGCCAGTCAGTGCTGACAGTAATGCAGGAGATGGGCCAAAGGTCTGACATATTCCTGAATTTCAAACATACACAAATGCCTTTGCCAAAGCCCTCCAGGTCAGCTTCTGCCTCGTGCCGTGTGGCAGAAGGGCGAGCATTGCAGACTGGAAAGACACCTGAAGAGGAATAGCTACCCAAAGCTGAGGAAGTGAGAAAAATTGCATCCAGGTATCTTCATTCTGACACACACAACCTAATTGTAATAATACACCCAACTCTCTACCCCCATCCCGACATTATGAGCTATGTTGTTTTCTTTTTAAAAAAGGGCAAGTGTAAAAAGTTGAAGAGCAAATGGGTTCTTTTAAATGCCAATTATTATTTTCTAAAAGTCATTTAAATGTCATCTTGTCAACCAAATATGATA